AGTTTTGGAAATTGACAATTTTGTACATTTCGATGTGCTCTTTTTGATTTCCATTTTGAACCTTTGTAGAAGCGCTGCTCGCGCCGCCATCGTCGAAAAATAAATCATGCGCCGCTTGCGCTCCTTTCACGTGGTGTGAAAATTTTTTTGTTTTCCAAAATGTTCATGAAAGTGTACTTTGCGGTGCTCTGGCGCCAAAAATATCTACTTATATTACAAAAAAAGTTGACAACTTTAGACATAAATATTGTAGAAAACTGTGAGAGGATAAATTTTGTAGTTAACGGTTTGCTCGTAAAATGCACAGGAAAAGTGATATTGTATAAGAACTGTTTTGTCCGTCATTTTTCGGCGCGAGCGGCGCAAGTACAAAGATGCAAAATGGAAATCGAGCACATCAAAATCTACAAAATTGCCGATTTTCAAAACTCCCGGAAAACACATCACAACGGAGAATTTTAATGGTATGATTATTTGTGTCTAGTTAGGAGAGTGATATAGGTCCTTAATTACCTACCTATATTTTTTTGCTTGACGGATTGAAGTAAAAAAAATAAATTCTAAAAACCACCCCGTTCCTACTCCTGCACGTCAAAGCCGGAACACCCGTTAAGTCCTCCGCGGCCCCGTATCGGGCATCACCCTACTGGACCCAATCTGTGGTGGTCTGATGACTCAATTGGGAATTGTAACCGAGAACTGAGACTCTACGGTCAGCATTCGCACTTTCAATCACTTGGCCATGACAAACAGATGTATTTCGCAAAATGATATGTGTACATAATGAAAGTTTAAATTTAAACCATTCATTAACTTGTTAACCTTCGTTTAAACATTCAGTTGGCTTCTATATCCGTATGCGGAGTGAATGTTTTGCCAAGAAACCTATTCGGTATTTTGTTATGGTAGCTAGCCCTCCACCAGGTCAGCCTATCCTATTTTTCTATTACATCTTCAACTTTATCGTATTGATATAAAGTCGATAATCCAGCGAATAATAATTTTTTTTTTCTTAAAACTTTCACTGCTTGGGGTAGGTTGATGTGCCGGCCACTGTACTTTATTCGTAAAAAGATAATTACTGGGTTTGTAAAAACCTCAGTAGTAGCACGGAGTCTGGAAATGTGCCCGGTACATGGCAACAGGCTCACCCCCTATTACATGGGACTCATAACATAAATAGTGAAAAGTGGGTGTTACATTGTACAGTGGTATTAAGTGCCGTAATGTGCACCGGTGCCTACCCTTGCGGGGATAAAAGGCGTGATGTTATGTTATAATATATAAAAACTATTTCAACTTTGAAATTTATAATTATTTTAAACGTTTACTAGTTAATATTATATGCACTCAAGTGAAACAAGTGAATTTATTTCAGCAAATAGGCTACAAGGCAGCACTTTTACACGTCAATTTTATCAAGCGAACGATGAGGCCGACATTTCCTAACTGACTACTCTGAGAAGAAATGCCGAAACAAACTCACATAATATTAGTAAATGTTTAAAATATCACAGAGCACAGAAATATTAAGAATTACCTTCTGTCTGCAGCTAAAAAGTAGGTAACCTTTGCGTTGCTCCAGACCAGGGGCGTAGCTAGCGCCGTATCTGCCGTATCAATTTTTTTTTATAGCATAAGCCGGTAAACGAGCAGACGAATCACCTGATGGTAAGCAATCGGCGCCCCATAGACACCCAAAACACGAAGACGTTACAAGTGCGTTACCGGTGTTTTGGGAATTGGGAATTTGAGGATTGTAGAGGATTCGGGGATTCGGCAGATTAGGGAGGGTGGTAATTGGGCCTCCGGTAACCTCACTCACATGACGAAACACAACGCAAGTTATTTCACGTCGGTTTTCTGTAAGGCTGTGGTATCACTCCGGTCGAGCCGGCCCGGCATGGCTCCTACTATAGGTAACGCTTGATAAAGACATAGATAGATGAATTTATTGAAATACTATGTTCGCGTGGAATAGTAATTTATATTATATAAAATATATATTATCTATATTATATATATAATATACCTATATTATAAAATAGATATATACCTCTATATAAAATAGAAAAAATAAACCCTCCCCCGTAAGTGGTAGCGCGATAATATGTAGTGGTGAGGGGTAATTGCGAAGCCCAATTACTCCTCCCCCCTTTCCCAATTTCTCTAATCCCTGAATCCCCAACAATCCTCAATCTTCTAATCCCCGAAAGGTTGGTAACGCACTTGTTTTCCTCTGGTGTTATGAGTGTCCATGGGCGGCGCTGATTGCTTACCATCAGGTGATCCGTCTGCTCGTTTACCGGCTTATGCTATAAAAAAAATAATTGATACGGCGCTAGCTACGCCCCTGGTTTGGAGCAGCGCATAGGTTACTGTTTTGTAATTTGTGTTAGTAAATGTTTAAAGTGTCCATTTCAAGTTGAAATAGTTTTTATATATAGTACACAAAAGAATAAAAAGTAGCCTATGTGACATATACCAATACACACAGCGCCATCTATACCAATACTTTTGTTTTTCCTCGGGAGTATCAATTTTTTCCGGGATAAAAAGTACCCTATTATTTAATCCAGACTTCTAACTTTACGTCTGCAAAAATTCAAAGCAATCGGTTGAGTAGTTACGGCGTGAAGGCGGAACAAACAAACAAACTTACTTTCAGATATAATATTAGTAAAGATTATCTTTTTACGAATAAAGTACAGTGGCCGGCACATCAACCTACCCCAATCGGTCAAATTTATTTGTTGGATTATAAAAAAAATATTTATTTGCATCAGGCAACGAAGGCTCATATTAAAATACTAGTTAATATAGCTCTGACAGCACCCCGCGAGAAGAGTAGTGTTGCCAAAACGCCGCCATTCGAAAGACGTGCTTTACGAAATCGATTCTCGATTACAAATCTTATCTCGCTAGCTCGCATACGTAAGTCAGCGAGTTAGGCAGTAAGTATGTATTCATCGGTTAATGACGAAACGAGTTACAAAACATTAGATTGTGATGTAAACTCGAGTAGTCTTGGCAATAAGGTAACGCGGACCGGTTCCAGAATACGGACGTGTGACGATATACGTAGTGTTGTGGCTCAGTTTGTTGTTGGTCGATGTTTGTATCGATAGTTTTTTTATTTGATTGATGTTTATAGCTTTTTATTTATTTACTAACTGTTATCCGCGACTTCGTTCGCGTGAAATTATTCATATTTTTTGACGCCACAACGTGTTGATTGGCGAGGCGTATTTGAGAGCTAGTATGAAACGGAACGTTTATTGTCTACCTACTCAAGATGGCGACTGCGGTTTGGCGGTCAGTGTCAATAAAATGAACAAAGGGATAGGTGGAAATATGTTATTGTGTATTTGACTTGATGATCAGAACTGGTAAATAAACTAATAAAGTAGAACAATTAAAAAAAGAAAATTAGGTCAAGTGCTCATCTTTTTTGTTTTTAAAATTTTAGAGCTACCGCGTGCGTCATTTTGAAATTAACTCTAAAAGTTAAATATTTTGTAATAACTGTTCATTTTCGACTATCCCGTTGTTCGACAAACATATTGGAAATTATCTGTTCTATAACCCTACACGAGATTGTGGTCTAATTACAAATCACCCTGTATAACCTAAAGGTATCTATATTATGTACATATACCGAGCCCTCCTTATCGATTTCGGTAACGGTGACCCTTAATAACTATCTCCTGTCGTATGCCCTGGTGTGACTGCAAAAACTAGGGCAAACGATTTTTGTTTTTTTTTTTAAGGGGGGAAAATCATCGAATGACTGATCCCGCCTGGGTGAGGCGGAAGGGAGTGTCAGACTCTTACTGACTAAAAACCACCCCGGTCCTTCTCCTGCGCGTCGAGCCGGAGCCCCGGTTACCCATTGGTTGGGTGTTACTAGATAGACACTGAACCTAAAAATGTTTGTCTGTCTGTATGTTCACACATCGCGCAAAAACTATTCTTCCGATTTCGATGAAATTTGGTATAATTAAGCATTAAAATCCTGGGCACCACACTGGGTAGTTTTTATTCCGAAAAAGTATATACATTAAAATGGAACACTGCTCATATTCATAGAGTTGTTAAACTCCTGAGGATGCTCCATGGAGGAGCGAAATATAGTATGTCGAGTGTGGTTCGAGCGGTGTGTTGTGCGACTTGTGTGTGTGTTTTGTGCCGTATCTCTGTTGCATGAGCATTTATTTGCAAAACTGTGCTGCAAATTCACTTCACTATCGAAATAATATAATAATAATAATAATCTGTTTGTTTATTTCTTCCATTTCTTACATCCTTACTTCCTTACTTGTGTATTATAAATCGGAAAGTGAGTTTGTTTGTTTGTTTGTTCCACTTTCACGCCGTAACTACCAAACCGATTGCTTTGAATTTTTGCAGACGTAAAGTTAGAAGTCCGGATTAAATAATACGGTACTTTTTATCCCGGAAAAATTTATATTCCTGAGAAAAACAAAAGTATTGGTACAGATGGCGCTGTGTGTGTTGGTATATGTCACATAGGCTACTTTTCATCCTTTTATGACGCGAGCGAAGCCGCGGGTAAGAGACAGGAGCCCGTACTAATCAGAGCCTGTTTTACGGGTCTCCTGGCCTCCTAACCTCTGAGTTTGTCTTTTTTTATTAGTTTTACAGTTTCTGTTGATATAAGCTTTAATATTCGATAGGTAAAATACATTACTTTAGGAGTTTACGAAAAAAAATTAAAAAATAAATCAAATAAAAACTAAATATTTTCCCAGTTGTTAGTGAAGCATTAATTACCGCAAAGTAACGTTTGATTCTATTCTATACATAATTATTTATTCAAGAAAACTCATTAGAATCAGCATTCAACAACCCGTTATCATCATAACCTTTTGTAACTGATTACAAACAAAATAATAACCAATTAAGAAATTTGTTATAATTGCAATACTTCATATCGATAACTTTCATCGACACCTCACGTTCCCATCACTACAAGATAAACGTCGTACTCTCGCTATCGACTATCGACACGCGTGCACGTCAACACTGTTTGTTTACACCGAGTAACAACAAAAATATTATTTTATCATTTAGCGTTCAGCCGTTTTCGAGACAGTGACGAAGGAATAATTGTGATGTGTTTTTGACAAAAATGGATAACATTTGCTCTAACTGTAAGTACCTACTTTAATCATTTATTTCAATGATGTTATAAAACATTTATAAACTATAAATTGTAAATAATATACTGTCTCAATTGGAAGGAACTATAACATATAAGGTACAGTCTCGGCCTTTTTTTTTTGTTAGTATTCATAAACTTTGTGTCTAATGTTTTTGATACCATAAATACTTTTTTTTTAATTTTTTTTTTCGTTTTATTTATTAACATTTTAATTGTAGTATGTTGATTTCTCGTCTATGTATTTATGTGGTTAGCTGGTTCGGTTACGTGCTACTTAATTATAGAATTTTTAACTTAATTAACGAATGAATAGGAAGTGTAAAATTGAACATAATACTTAGATATTGTAGGTTCATTTCTGTCTAATAATAGAAAATTATATATTTTACGTTTATCCAATATTTTTTACAAATAACTTACTGCTATTCGAGGAAAAAAAATCAATGAAAGATGTTTATATTTATGCGCATAACTTATAAACGACTGCAATAAATTAGATATACCTAGTTTTGATTTTAAAGTATTATGTTTTCTTTCCTTTTATTTTTTTTATATTTTCTTATTTAAATTATTAATTTATTTTAGTCACTGGTGTTACAAAACTGTTAAGTAAGTATATTCAATTAAAAAGTGTGATCTGAGAATTGAAAATTCCTATTATATGTAGGTATGTGTTGAATGGAATTGGCGCCAAATAAAACGACATGAAGTAGCCATGAATTTATTCTTTTGTTTCGATGTTAATTTGAATTGTATCTCATTGACGTTCTTAATTACCTAAATATTTACTGATACAATTTGTAATACGATAGTTGACAGTTAATCAAATTCAATACTTTTATTAAAATGTCAAAAACAATACTTTTCTATGAATTTTGTATTGAATCGCAACTTATGACGTCATCATATTTCTGCGTCAAACAGCATACTTATTTGTTTAAAATTAGCGAGAAAAAATCCAAAAGTAAGTAAGTAAATTGTCAAATCAGTGAGATGGATGAGAGTATGATTATTTTTTAATTATTTATTGTACTGAAAGGTTGAAACAATTTATTTTAAACCCAGGAAACTAGCCAGTTCAAATAATTTGTAGTGTCGCGGAGAACCTAACGGGTAACCGGGGCTCCGGCTCGCCGTGCAGGAGAAGGAACAGGGTGGTTTTTAGCCAGTAAGAGTCTGACACTCCCTCCCGCCTCACCCAGGCGGGAGCAGTCATTCAATGATTTTCCCCCCTTAAAAAAAACTCTGCCATTTGTGAACCGATTTCCAAAATTCTTGTTTTGTTTGAAAGGGTATATTCTCGAGATGGACCCAGGATTCAGGATCTGATGATGGGATCCTAGGGAAACCGAGGGGAGCTTCCGAAAATTGTAGGGGTGATGATATGAGCTTATGGTGCCGACTTCTTAAGTATTAGTGGATGGGTAAACTATCAGGGGGCTTACCTACTCTTGAATTGAATTCCGATCGATCGACATTGGTATTGTGAAATTGCGTACTCTTGAGTTGTAACACTAGCGCCCATTGCATCTGTATTGCGTGGATATTTAATGAACTAAATGGTACTGAGTTCGGCTTTATATTCCGTACTCTGAATGCTATTTCAACAGCTACGGTAGGGGTTGTATAATGTTGACATTGAATCATTATTGAAATTTTATTGGATTAAAATTGCTTTGACATTGAGATTGGTTTCAAGAGTAAGCGCCCTGATGATGGGATCCTAGGGAAACCGAGGGGAGCTTTCGAAAATTATAGGGGTCATGATATGAAAAATAAATTATTATGTTTTCGGCTTACTCACGTAGTAATTTGACGAGGAACTCGACTAGTTTCAAGCCATGTTAGAGGCTCATATTCATGAGCAGCATTTCGCGACCCGCGACGCGGCGACTGCCGTATGTCTCACGAAAGTTACAATACAAATAGTCATGATATGAGCTTATGGCGCCAATTTCTAACCTATCAGTGGGTGGGTAACCTATCAATACTAATGATAGTTATTTTTTCTTTTTAGTTTAGTCTTTTTGTTTGTTATTATTAATTCAACATCACGGAATGGCATTTAAAACAAACAAACAAAAAAACAAACTCTTCCGCTTTAATATTATAAGATAGTTACACGGGCGAAGCCACGGGCTCAGACTAGTGTCGCTAAAATACATTTTTTTTAAAGATAAACGTCGTTCAATATTAATGAGTTTGTATAAGTAATATTTGCAATATTTATACATAAATGTATAATATTATACCGCTGTACGTAATTATTTATATTTATACTTTTATATAAAACACAAAGTCCAAGGCTACGTAAGTGCGCGACCGTATTTATTTATCGAAGCAATTTTCTTCGACGAACGAAGTCGACTGAGAAAATAAATTATTTGTTGGTAATCTAGACATAAATAAAATTAATATTAACTATTACTAAATGAAAATCTATACAACTTAAAATATAAATAACTATGAACTAAAATACACTTCCGGACACTTGAATCGAGCCACATTACATTCCCGGCCCTAAAAGCCCATTACACAAAATATATGCAATGTAACAAAAAAGTTTTTATGCATTTTTAATGCTGGCATATTTCATCGTCTTTCCCGTATGTATTCTTCCAAATTTGAATTTAAGATTTTAAAATAAAGAACAAAAGCCGAGCTTGGTCACTGATTTGAAAAAAATAATGGCTGTAGAAAGTTACTTTTGAAGCAATTTAATTTCGATTTTGTTTGAATTTTCGCTATGTTTGTTAACCAAAGTTTAGTTTAGTTTTTTTTTCTTTAATTTGATTCGCTTTTGGCTATAAAATTATGGATACTTCACCTGAAGTAGCCGCGCAAGCTGTAGCACTTCTTCAATCTGGGCTAAGTCAGCGAGATGTGAGTTCACAACTTCTCATGTCGTTCCGCTGTCCAAAGAGTGTACCATCGATACGTATTTTCTTATTTTGTCGTATAATAAAATAATACTTAGATATAACGAATCAAAGTTAAGAAGTGGGGGCTAAAACGTCATTTCCATATGTATATAGAAGTGACGTCACGCGACATTTCAAATCAATATAGCGTCGAAAGTATTCGTTTCTGTAAGAAAATAAAAATACATGTCTAATGATTTAAAATAATCTACCAGATGGACATTAAAATCATAATTAGTCATCTACCCTATTACCAAGACATGATCTCTTATTATGTTTATTAACACATGTTTCATTGTTCTCTTTTATCACTGAACTACTTATTGTATTTATAAACAAAACATATTATTATTGTATTATCATATCACACACAAACACACGATACGGCTTGGCTTGTTTAACACACAAGTAAACAAATAGCTCGTCTCGATTAATAATAACAAATAAAAAGACTAAACTAAAAAGAAAAAATAACTATCATTAGTATTGATAGGTGACCCACCCACTGATAGGTTAGAAGTCGGTGCCATAAACTCATATCATGACTATATTTGTATTGTAACTTTCGTGAGACATACGACAGTCGCCGCGTCGCGGGTCGCGAAATGCTGCTCATGAATATGAGCCTCTAGCATGGCTTGAAACTAGTCGAGTTCCTCGTCAAATTACTAAGTGAGTAAGCCGAAAACATAATAATTTATTTTTCATAGCATGACCCTTATAATTTTCGAAAACTCCCCTCGGTTTCCCTAGGATCCCATCATCAGGGCGCTTACTCTTGAAACCAATATCAATGTCAAAGCAATTTTAATCCAATAAAATTTCAATAAAGATTCAATGTCAAAACTATACAACCCCTATCGTAGCTGTTGAAATAGCATTCAGAGTACGGAATATAAATTCAAACTCAATACCATTTAGTTCATTGAATATCCACGCAATACGGATGCAATGGGCGCTAGTGTTGCAACTCGAGAGTACGAAATTTCACAATACCAATGTTGATCGATCGGAATTCAATTCAAGAGTAGGTAAGCCCCCTGATAGGTTACCCATCCACTAATACTTAAGAAGTCGGCGCCATAAGCTCATATCATCACCCCAAAAATGTTCCTCGGTTTCCATAGGATCCCATCATCCAGATATTGACCTCATGGAAATGGGACCATCTCGGGAGTATGGAGTATATATACCCTTTCAAATAAAACAAGAATTTTGGAAATCGGTTCACAAATGGCGGAGTTTTTTTTTTAAGGGGGGAAAATCATTCAAAGTCAAACTCTTACTGACTAAAACCCACCCCGTTCCTTCTCCTGCACGTCGAGCCGGAGCCCCGGTAACACGTTAGGTTCTCCGCGACACAAATGGCGGAGTAATGCGCGAACAAACAAAAAAAAATCAATCAGCCGAACATAGTACCTCCTCCTTTTTTTGAAGTCGATAAAAATAATAGATCTATGACAGTCCATTGCTGGAATTTAGACTCCTTTTTTATAGACTAAGTCGGTAAACGAGCTGACGGATCACCTGATGGTAAGCAATCGGCGCCGCCCATAGACACATGAAACACCAGAGGCGTTACCAATATGGCACCGACCTTTATGGGATTAGGAATTTGAAGATTGTTGGAAAGTCAGGGATGGGGGAGATTAGGGGAAGGGAGTAATTAGGCTTCCGGTAACCTCACTCACTCGGTTTTGTAAGGCCGTGGCATCACTCCGGTCGAGCCGGCCTATTCGTGCCGAAGCAAGGCTCTCCCACGCTTTAAAACTTATAGTAACAATTAATATTGTCTGATGAGTACAGACTGACTCGTTGGCTGAGTGGTCGCAAGTGTCACTGCCGGCAAGGGGTCTCCGTTTCGAATGCCAGGTCGGGCATAATAATACTGGGTTTTTAAAAGAAATCTCAATAGTAGCACGGAGTCTAAAATTGTACCCGGTATATAGCAATAGGCTCACCCCCTATTACATGGGACTCATGTGTGTGTTACATTGTACACTGGCATTAAGTGCCGTAATGTGCACCTCTGCTACCACTTCGGGGATAAAAGACGTTATGCTATGTTATGCGTCCTGCGTAGATACATTTTTTTGTAATGAATACTTAAACTTGTTTTTAAAATTATAATTACAATGCGATCTCACATATATAATAACAACTAATTGGTGGTATAATAGACTTCTTTATTATTACATAGTCAAATAGTCTATTCAAATGTTATTTCCGTAAAAAAATGTAATACTCACTGAACTTTTGAATAAAATTGACATCTAAAAGGTTTTTAGTGTGGAAGGATTGTCAAATATTCGCGAATAACTTCCTTAGTTTTTTTTTTTAAACTTTGCCCAACACTAGGATTTTCTCCTGTGTCGTGGGTGCGTTTACAAACATACAAGTTCACATACACAACACACCCAGACCCGAAACAACAATTTGTGGATCACACAAAGTGTTGTTCCGTGCGGGAATCGAACCCGCGACACGTTGCACGGCAGCCGGTTGCCCAGCCACCGCACCAATCGTGCAATTAAAAAGACTTCGGGCCCTCGCCCACAGGCGACTTTTAGTAGCGATGCAGTTACGTGTTAAGAAAATGCGCGACAGTGTCGCTTCTCATCAACAGCCTATAAATGCCCACTGCTGAGCAAAGCCTCTTCTCACACGGAGAAGGTTTGAGCATTAATCACCACGCTTGCTCAATGCGGGTTGGCGATTTCAAACTTATAATTAGAAATTATAAGTCCAGGTTTCCTCACGATGTTATTCCTTCACCGTTTGTCAGTGGTGTCTAAATAATCTTAGAAAGTACGTAAGTGTCGCTTCTAAGGCGTGTTAATCGCATTTGCAACCCACTGCAATAGCGATGCAAACGGGCCACTAACATGCTACTGCATCGCGATTGCATCCATACAAATGCGCGACCGCCTCGTTGGCCGAGTGGTCGTAAGTACGACTGCCGGGCAAGGGGTCTCGGGATCGATTCCCGGGTCGTGCAAAGTATTATTGGGGTTTCTAAATATTCTCAGTAGTAGCACGGAGTCTGGAATTGTGCCCTTTATATGGCAATAAGCTCTCCCCCTTTTACATGGGACTCATAATATAAATAGTGAAAAAGTGGGTATTACATTGTACAGTGGTATAATGTGTACCTCTGCCTACCCCTTCGGGGATAAAAGGTGCGATGTTATGTTATGTTGCGCGACCGCGTCGGATGACTTCAAATATTGACGCTGCTTCTGTTGCCTACGCTTCAGCTGCTTACGTAAAAGCAGCACTGAAGATAGCGTGACTAATGTTGCCTCAATGGAGTCCACCTTGTAACTGTACTAATCCAAACTATTTTTGTATCATAACTGCATCGAGACCGAATCGCTTGCATTGTGTCGCGGAGAACCTAACAGGTAACCGGGGCTCCGGCTCGACGTGCAGGAGAAGGAACGGGGTGGTTTTTAGTCAGTAAGAGTCTGACACTCCCTTCCGCCTCATCCAGGCGGGAGCAGTCATTCGATGATTTTCCCACCATAAAAAAAAAATCGCTTGCATTGCGACTGAATCTGGCCCCGTGGGCAAGGGCACACAGTAAGCGACCGTTTGGCGTCAGTATCGATGCTACGCGCGACAGCATCGCGACTGCATCGGGGCTAAGAAGTCATACAAGAATACCGATCTAAATTTTGATTTTTGTATTCCAGCTCCTGCACATAAAGGTGTGAGCAGCCTTGAAGGAATGTACACAGACTTCGACGGATGGGTGACCAGATTCAACTCGTGTTACAAAAGGTATAAAAATATTATTATTTTCTAACTAACTCGACAGTCGACGCTCGTCCTGCTAGCTACTAACAGTAACAGCGCGACAGTCGCCGCGTCGCGGGTCGCAGAATGCTGCTCATAAATATGAGCCTCTAGCATGGCTTGAAACTAGTGGAGTTCCTCGTCAAATAATTATATGAGTAAGCGAAATTCGTTATGTCCAGCAGTGGACGAAAAGAGGCTGTTGATGATGATGAAGCCGAAATACATACTTAATAGTTAAAATTATTATGTACCTACCATCCTCTACCATTATGGATAAAATATACTGTGTTGTGTAAATATTAATTGTTATATTCAGTATTCAGTACAGTATTCAAGTATTTATTGCATCCATAATGTACGTGTACATATCTCCCAACGTTGTTAAATCCTATTGTTTTTGAACAACACAAGCATTAAATTGTTTACTTTTTACATTTACAGATCACCAGAAATGCGAACGGTTTCCCGCCAAAAAGATTCAAGACGTCACGATGACATCGACCTTTATGAAAGAGATTATTTTTTAAACAATTTGCTGCTAAGGCAAAGGCACTTACGTCGTTCAGCCAGACGGCAATGTTTTAATTTTTTTAAAGAAAACGATGGATTTATATCCTACGATCATGTTTATTATAGACTTATGAACAAAAATGGTGATAAAAGAATTATATTCCAATATATTCAGTCTAAATTGTAGTTTAAGACGTATGTGATATGTTATCAGCAGATTTAAGACTTTATCTTTAGGGTGACAGGGTTCAGAATTCTACAAAATATGTAGATTATATTTTTGCACTTTGAACGAAATAATATTATCGCTCTCTTTTACTAATGTAAGTAAAAGGAAAGAGATAGCAAGACTGCCATACAACTGCCATGTATCAAGGCTCGATCGAACAATTGTCTTTTTAAGTTTTCGAATTTCTGATTATTTTTATGAGTACGATATATTTACTCGATAAAGATTTAATAAAAATGTTGAATCTATTGACAAAATCAATTTTGATGTAAGCAAAGAATATATGGTCACTAGTCCCGATATTGAGAACAAAAAAAAAGTAACAGATAGCTCAAATTATGAACTTTTAATACATTTTCAACCTTATCTTTGTGTGATAAAGTTGATAATCTGACTTAGCGACCGATTTCTGTCGTTAGTCGTTATCAATGTCGAGACTACCGACCCTAATGGCTTGTGATAAACATAGAAACAACAAAACTATGAAAATAATAATTAAATAATAATTGTGATAATATGGGTAAACATATAATTTGTAAATAAATAGTTTAAGGTAAATAGTTTTTTTTTATGAGATAAGCCGGTAAACGGCCAGACGGATCACCTGATGGTAAGCAATCGGCGCCGCCCATGGACACCCAAAACACCAGAGGCGTTACAAGTGCGTTCCCGGCCTTTTGGGAATTGGGAGTTTGAGGGAGACTGGGGAAGGGGGTAATTGGGCCTCTGGTAGCCTCACTCATACGACGAAACACAACGCAAGCGTTGCTTGACGTCGGTTTTCTGCTGGGCCGTGGTATTACTCCGGTCGAGCCGGCCCATTCGTGCCGAAGCATGGCTCTCCCACACTTGAAGTTTTTGCATATTGATGTTTTTCGTCAAATACGCCGTAACGAGATTCTCCCAAAACCGCTGCAACTCCTGTAAGCCAGGATCTATAGTAGATACAACCATGCAAACACCGGAACACTGAAGTCCAACGTCCCAGGGACATGAGTAACTGTCTTGGTTCCCGCAACGAAGTAAACTAGGAGATAGTACCTCTATTAAAATTAAAAATCTAATTAGTCCGTCAGTTAGATAATGAAAAAATATTAGACACGTTTTTTTTTATTTTCTCGTATTAAGTTGCAATACTTAGACAAGCTCGCCACAACCTCCCAAAACCGCTGCAGCTCCTGTAAGCCAGGGTCTACAGTAGATACAACCATGAAAACACCGGAACACTGAAGTCCAACGTCCCAGAGATATGAAAAACTGTCTTGGTTTCCGCAACGAAGTAAATCAGAAGATATTATAAGAGAAGAAAAAAAAACGATAGCTTCCACTTCCCTCGGTGAATTACTGCAGGAGACAGAATGAATTAAGCCTAAAGGCCTGTGACGGCCTGTATCGGCAGTCGATACATCCCTAGAGACGTGTGTCTCCCTTGAGCTTTTCTATGCAGTTGCATGACAGCACATAACCACTGTGTCACCGTTTTGCCTCATCCTTGAGGCCATTGAGTGTGTGCACGACGGCAATATTAGGTCGCGAGCCGCCCGCGACGTGTTCCGAACGTGTCCGAACCATGACGAAAAGGCAAGTTCAGACACGAACATCAAAGGCGGGCGGCGGCGATCCTTTGTTCCGCGCCGCCGCTGCTTGGTTTGAACTTGCCTTTGAGCATGTACAAACATGACTCAACGTCGCAGAGCGGCCGAGTCGCGTGCCCCGATCAACAGGAATTATCCTGTCCGCGCGCCTCGCATATAAAAGGCCTGTACCCGGCGAGGCGCATCAGTTGTCAATGAGTCGTCAATGAGTTATCAATGTATTGTCAGTGTATGTAGTCGTTATGTAAAAAGTCGATCATAGCCAGTCGATCGTAATATTGTCAATTTCATCTCCACTAGTGTTGTTAACATTATCATCGTAATAAAGAATATCAGTGTACAAGAGTTCTCCAGTTTCATTATACAGTCCACTTGCTCTCCACAAGGACCTAGCTCGTCGAGGACTGATCCACAGCCTGATCCCTCCGAGCCCGTACATTTTCTGGTCCTTCGAAGCCGAATAAAGTTCTAGCAAGATGGTGTTAACACGCAGCCGTAGTGGAGAATCCAGGACAGAGCAGACCCAGCAAGAGCCTTCAGTGACCGCCGGACCGGGTGCCAGCAGCTCGGCACCAGAATCGAGCTCGGTCCGAGTGATGGACACAGGAAGCGGGTCTACGACTACCAACATCGACGCAACGTATGATACACTCAAGCCCAGCGATACAAAGTCACGCCGTTCAACATACTCGAAGAAAAAGCGCCTCGCAGAGCTGGAGGCTAGAAAACGCCTGGCCGAGATGGAAGTCAGACAAGCGCAAGTAGAGCTGGAGGCCAAAAAACGGCTGGCTGAGAGGCAAGTTAAGTTGCAAGAACTAGAGCTCCAATGCATCACAGCCGAAGCCGAGTCGAGTGACGACGAGGAGTTGGTGGACGACCTCGCCTCCGTGAGGATTGGAACGTGGCTAGCGCGACCCGCGCCGCCACCCGGAGGCGAGACTCGGCCGCCGCACACACGCGTCAGCGGCGGGAGCATCAGCAGGGACGCAGCCCACGCAGCGGCAACGACGGCGAGCGGCGCCCCGGCGGGCGCGCAACCGCCGCGAGATGACAACGGCTATGGAAAAGTGTGTGAAAGTGCGTGTGCGAAATCAAAGGGCAATATCGCGAGTGAAGTGTCACACGGTAACGTGAGTGATAAAGTGATAGACGTAGGAACACTCGCCGCGGCACTAGCGCAGGTTACGCGCAGTTCGAGAGAGCCCCCGAAGTACATGCAGCGGCTACCAGTCTTCGACGGAAAACCCGGTGAGTGGATAGCTTATAAGGCCACGTATTGTGACTCACACACGTACTTTTCTAGCGTAGAAAATGTTGCTAGGATTAGGATAAGCCTCAGAGGCGCCGCAAAGGAAGCTGTAGGGAGCCTATTATTTAGTCAGTCTGATCCTCAGGTCATTCTAGACGCACTAGAGAGACGTTTTGGTAGGCCTGAGGCTTTGATAATGACAGAATTAGATAATGTAAAGTTATTACCTAGATTAAATGATAACCCTAGGGATATTTGTATATTTGCTAGCCGTATTGCAAACACGGTGGGTACGGTAGAAGCACTAAATAGAATCCAGTATTTACATAGTCCCGAAATGTCGCGTAATATCATAGAAAAGTTAACGCCAATATTAAGAAATAAATGGTATGATTACGCGGCTAATAGAAAGTACGAAGACACTCCCGTATTGAAGCTCTTATCTATGTTCATGAATGAAGAGGCCGACAAGTGTAGCGCGTACGCGCTGCCGGAGCGTGTTAGTGATAACGCCATTGATGTACGACAACGACGCAGAGTTGAGCGCACGTTCGTCGTGAGTAAAAGAACGTCAAGTGAACTATGCCCGGCATGTAAACAACACGGTCACACGTTACCAGACTGCAACAAATATAAGCAGCTAGACATAGATACTCGGTGGAACATAGCAAAAAACAATAACATGTGTTTTAGATGTTTACGAATTAAACACAGAAGATATATGTGTAGAGCGCCTATTTGTGATGTCAAGGGATGCAACATGAAACATCACAAACTGTTGCACAAAGAGCGTGATGATAAGACGACTCACAACACAGCGCCGCACGCGCCGCCATCAATGACGCCTGTTATCGCACACGAATCCGTGACGTCAGCGCGCGAAACAGTATCGACGACTTCGCCTCGGAATCGCCGCGCGTACTTGAAGATAGTTCCTGTGACGTTACGCGGACCACGTACAAGCATAGACACATACGCCTTGTTAGACGATGGGAGTACAGTCACTTTGTTAGACGCGACAGTGGCAGACATCCTAGGTGCAAATGGGCCAGCTAGTCCTATGCAGATACAAGGCCTAGGTACAGAAGTCAATCATGAGCAAAGCCGCACTGTTAGTCTCCACATACAAGGCAAGTACCACAGCGTCCCGCAGAAGATAGAGGCAGCGCGCACTGTAAATAGATTAGAAGTCATGGCGCAGACTGTACAAGCCGAAGATATAAACAATTGTAGGCATTTAAACGACATAAGAAGCACTCTTGTTTATGAACGCGCGCGACCGATGATTTTAATAGGTCAAGATAACTGGCATTTGTTAGTAGCCACGAAAACGCGTACAGGTACGCGCGATCAACCGGTAGCATCATTCACGAAACTCGGTTGGGTATTACATGGATGTCATTACTCAGTAAATAAAGACAGGAGTACATTTTGCGGCCACATTAGTATTCAAGAAAATGTAGAACCAGTTGAAGAAACCACGAGAAACTTCAAAGTAGAATCAATATATTGTATAGAACCTAGGAAACCTAACAACCACCTAGGTACCCTAGATCGAGATCGGTGCCTACATAAGGACGAAGAACAAGTCAATCATCATGTAATCAACAAAGTAAATAGTCCAGATAAGTACATACCTACACCTGCTGCTTACGCTCAACGCGCCAAAGAACAAAAGGACAAGGACTTGCCGGCTGAAACCTTATCAAAGGGAACCGTCGCCATACAGGATAAAAAAGCGGCGGCCGGCAACAGCGCGTTATCAGTGCTAAGTACATGTGGCGCAAGCGCACGTGTTTTACGTTTGCGCGGGAGAATCACAGCGGTGGCAAACGTAAATGCAGAATCAAAACACCCTGTTATATTCAAAAGTAAACACAAGTATAAGAAATTAAGGATTACGTATTTGCACCAACAATTACATATTAGTGGGAACAACATAAGACAGCGTCATAGGATTAAATTTGTAGCTATAGGTAGGCACAAAGACGAATGTGTAGAATGTAGATCGATATACAATATACATAGGAATAGATTATAGGTTTATAGCTATATAGGATAGTTTATAGAACATGGATAGTCTATAGTTATAGATATAGGTATAGGCAGTTTATAGGTATATTTTTATTATAAGAATAGATATACATATAGGTAGAATAGTCTATGGACATAGGTTAGTCTATAGTTTATAGGTATAAGTATAGGTAGGTATAGATTAGTTTGTAGAAACATGTTAGTTTACCTATTTCAAAGCGGCAGATAGGGACCTAGGAGAAAGTGCCTTAAGCGCTTTAGGAAGTGAGTCCAATGCGCGGTCTATAAGCTTGAAGCTATACCACCGGTGTCGCCGTATTGGCAAGATGGATACGTGGGTACCAGCCGCTCATTCAAGACCGGCGGGAGCCCTACGGCAGCGGCACCCCACCCAAGGTTGGAGACGCCGTCGTGA